TTTTTATAGCCCTTCCAGACCTGGTGAAAGCACAGCTCCTTGTGCCATCCCACTGGGGCTGGGCTGTCTTAGAAGCAGCTTCTACTCCCCTGTTGCTTTGTAATTAAAATTCCCATATACTCTTTGAGATCAAAAAAAAAAAAAAATCTTGCTGTGTCTGCTGCAGAGATCTATTTTATATTTTAGATATCGTTTATCCCTGGAAGTGTCCAAGGCCAGGCTGGATGGGGCTTGGAGTAGCATGATTTTGTGGAAGGTAGCCCTGCCCATGGCAGAGGGGCTGACCTTTAAGGTCCCTTTCAAGCCAAACTATTCCTTGATTCTGTGATTTCCATCACACAGCAGCAATGTGGTGCTGCAGGGAGTTTCCACCACCCTGATCCCAATCCCACCTGAGGCTCAGTATTGGCTGTGGCCACCTGAAAGCCCAAATTGATGCTAAGTCTTGAGTCCAGAGCTTGTGTCCAAGGCCAGGAGCTCGCTCTGAGCAGGGACACCTCAGGAGCCCTTGGCTATTTGGCTGCTGCAGCATTAGGGGCTGCTAAGTGGTCTCTGGGTGATGGACATATTCCCCATGGAAAAGTCAACATCAAACCATGCTTTTGCAGCTGGCAGACACTTTTCTGGGAATTGCTGACTGTGGAAATTAGGGAATAAGGCTTTTAAATCTATGCATTTTATCAGACTGGTAGCAGGGAGTAGGAATGAGGTGAAGGGAAGAGCCCCAAGGGTTGTGTTTGCTGCAGCGTGCAGGATGGGGCCCGTGTGCCCTACCCCTGCCACCCAGATAGCGGCGCCTGCTGGACCTCCAGGGCCCATCATTTTAGCCCAAAACCTCTGGGGTGGTCAGGAGAGGGGGATGTCCCAGTTTGTGAGGCTGCAGGGTGGTCAGGAGAGGGGGATGTCCCAGTTTGTGAGGCTGAGGGGGGCTGTGGGGCAGCCAGGCCCGGCTCAGTGCCGGGGCACGGCGCAGAGCTGGAAGGGTTTGGGGCAGCGCGTGAGGCTGAGCGTGAAGGCGAAGGACAGCGCGGCCTCAGCTGGGGCCTGGAAGCTGAACTTCTGCAGCAGGGCCACGAAGAAGATGAAGAGTTCGGTCCTGGCGAGCTGCTCCCCGGGACAAGCCCTCTTACCTGGAAAAGGAGCACAAAGAACCCGACAAAGTGCCGAGCGAGCTCAGCCAGCTCCGAGGCTCCTCCGGGCCGCGCCGCCTCGCACAGGCTGCGGCGGCTTTTCTTCCTGGAAAGGTTAGGTGGCAATGTTCACCCACACAATCTGCTCAAAGCTTCCCCAGTTTACTGCCGAGCAAACTGCGCCTGTTCCGAGAGGCGAGGAGCGGAAACTGTCTGAACAACCCAGTTATGTAACTTCTGCAGGAAGAAAAAGAGCCTTTTTCTTTTCCTTTTTTTCTTTTCTTTTCCTTTTTTTCTTTTTAATCCTGCAGTAACAAATTGATTTCCTCCCCGCTCCGAGCAGCCTCTATTAACTGTGACTGGGATTTTCGCTGTGGGGATGGGCTGGTAGCTGAACAAGAGCGGTACCCCCTACTCTATAAGCAGTGTCTCGGGAAAGAAATAAAAGCCTTGCAAGAAGAAAAGCCACCTCGCCATCCATCACCCTACCTGCAGAGAAGGGCAGAAAAGCCTCCCGCCTCCTGTACTGGCCGTTTTCCAGGAAATGTTCAGGATTAAAGGTGTCGGGAGTCTCCCACACGTTTTTGTCGAACATTATCGAGGTCAGGCTGGTCATCAGGGTGGTGCCCTGCGAGAGGTGGAGAAAAGGGGCGATTACGCGGAGAGGAGCCGAAATGTTGTCAGACTGGGTTATTATTAGCTCTGTAAATTACACTGTTTTAGCGGCAAAACGGGCCTTTTTCCCCCTCTAAGCTACGTAATTAAGATGAAAGCCTGCAGGATTGTTCACTTGTGTGTGTGTCTTTACAGATCGCTGAGTTTTGATCTGCATCCTGAGCTGCAGTAACAGGTGATGATAATGCAAACCAACTTTAAATTGGTAGCATTGCATTCCCATAGGACCTTGAAGCAATTTAATCAAGTAATTTTCAATTGATTTTTTTAAATGTGTTTTTTTTAGAAAAAAAAATTAACCTGATCTGGTTTTTCTCCACATTCTCCGTCAGCAAGAGAAATATTCCTATCAATGGGGAAGAAAATGCCTGAATTTTTAAAATTTACCTCAGTGCAACCAATCATATAGAGGGAAGAGACCAGTTATATATAAATCCTATATTTGCTTTTGTAATTGTGGAACAGTGTGTATGAAACAATATTCATTACCTGTCTTTCATCAAGTGCTACTTTTAATAGATGATTATTAAAGTTGTGTAGAATTAACAAACCCAAACTGTTTGCTTTCCTGTGTTTCTTCTATTCCCATAACATGCTGAGGGTGTCTTTTACAAAATTTAAGGCATAAACCTTTTAAAATTATCAATTACAGCCAACACCTTGAGGATCTCACAATTCTCCTCTGTAAGGAGGTGAGATCCATAACAACCCCGCAGAATCCATCAAGAGGGCTTGTATTTTCTAAATAATTGTGATATTTCTGTAAGATCCTGCTGACTGGTTCCCTTCATGGTGAGATTCAGGCCTTGGGCCCTGAAGACCCTGCTCTGGTGGGACGAAGGCTGTTGGGACGAAGGCTGTTGGGATGAAGGCTCCTGAGACAAAAGGCTGGTGGGATGAAGTCTGGTTGGGGTGAAAGCTGGTGGGACAAAAGGCTCGTGGGATGAAGGCCGGTGATCCCCACGCACTTTGGGCAGGTGGAAGCCAGCCAGGGTGGTGTCGCTGGTGGCCATACGGGGCACCCCCAGGGGCACCACGTTGCCCACGCGCAGGACCTCGCTCAGCACGGCGCTGGTGTATGGCATCTTCTCCTTGTCGGCCATTGAGGGCTGCTGGCACTGCCCGACCACAGTGTCGATCTCCTGCTGCACTTTCTCTACAGGGACCAAAAAAAAAAGAAAAATATTCCTCTTCATAGAATTTTTAGGGTTGGAGAAGCCCTCTTAAATGATCAAGTCCTACTATTAAACCAGCACTGCCAGGCCACCACCAAACCATGTCCAAAGTGCCATCCACACTCCTATTGAACACTTCCAGGGTGATTGCCTCACTCCCCTGGGAAGACTGTTCCAGAGGGAACAGTCTTCCCAGGGATAACATTTTCAAACTTGAAGAAATTTTCCCTAATATCCAACCTAAACCTCTCCTGGTACAACCTGAGGCCATTTCCCTTTGTGCTGTCACTTGTTCCTTGGGAGAAGAGACTGACCCCCACCTGGTTGTACCCTCCATTCAGGGAGTGGTAGAGCATGAGAAGGTCCCCCCCGAGCCTTCTTTTTTTTCTGGGCTAAACACTCCCAGTTCTCTCAACAGCTTCTCCTAAGACTTGTCTTCAGAGGGTTCCCAAGAGGATACCTGGGGCACAGGCATATCCAAGATGTGGCAGAGCTGGGATAACTCTGTTCCCTGAGCTTCCCTTACCTAGTTTTGGGCTAAGCAAAGGACTTCTGAGTGGCCCTACCCTGAATGTGGGGGTACGCGGCCATGTAGAGCAGAGCCCAGCGGATGGCGGTCGCCGTTGTCTCTGTCCCAGTTAAGAACAGGTCCAAGGTGGAGCACAGCAGGTTTTCCTCATGGAAATAGGAGCTGGTGTCACCCTTAAACTTGGAGGAAAAACATGGCAATGAAAGCTCTTATTCTGGAGGGGATGCTTTTAAAACCCAATCCAAAATCACCTGTGTGTAAGTGAAGTCCTACTGCTCCTTTATTATCTACACCTGGGCTTGGAAATTTCCAGCCTTTCACTGGGTTTCAAGCCCTATGGACTGTTTTGACAGACACCCTGGTTGCTGTAGAGTGGCCCTTGAAAGCAGGTAGCATTTTTAAATGTCAAGTTTCACAATAGCAAACACAGGCGTGTGAGTGCTCACAGAAACATGAACATGTTCCCTGAGAGTCCTCCTACGCCGTGTGACAGAACGAAAAAGGGAGAAAGACAAAGTGTAAATCCTTTCAAATGGAAAAAAAATATATGTGTTTCTAAGTGATCAGGCTTCTGCTGCTGCTAAAGTTTGATGTGGCAGAGGTAGGGAGGGGAAGGCAACATGTGAGGCAAGAACTGCCCTGACTAAACAGCCCTGAATCTTCTCTGCTCATTCTATGGGTTAAACCTTTAGGGGGTTTTGGTTATTTGGTTATTTACTTCCTACCTTTTCTATTTCCTTCAGGTAACAGTCAATATAATCTCCTGCCTCAGACTGGTCCAAATCCTCTTTGTGCTTCGCAATCACGCCTTTCACAAAATATTGAAGTTTCTCCCAGTGCCTGAAGATTTTCCTGAAGGGTCCTGGCAACCATCTCATGATCAAAGGAAAAGCATTATAAAGCTGGTAAGAAATCAAACAGAGCAAAAGAGCATTTTTTGAGTTAGAAAAGAGCAGGTATCATAGTTGAGATGGGACTCTCAATTAATTGATTAACTCTGTTTGCTGCCATGAAAAAAAATTATCCTGCTTTAACTGTCCATATTGTACAAATTCATTTACATAGGTGTAAACCAGTGCAAACAAGATAAGAATTGGACACATATTTCCTCCTGATAAAGTTCTCAAATACTGAATGGCCAAAGCTGCCCCCTAATGTGAGGTGGCCACAGGTGAGGTAGATGCAGATGAGCCCCTTAGTGTGTCCCCATGGAGGGGACAGAAATCAGACCATGGTGTGTGGCCACACAGAAAATACATCACCAAATCCACCTATTTGGTTTCTAAACCTGGAATCTCAATTTTTTTTTCCTAAATAGAAGTTATTTAAGAAACTGGTTGGGATATGGGTGTGGGAAAAGATAGGAATTTTCAAAGTGTTACTAGTTCTTCTTTTTAGATTTTCTTTTGAGATCTTCTTTTAAGGTTTTCCTGTTGTTTTTTTGATTATGTCAGGCATAAGATTGGTTTCACAATCCTGTAGTATTTTTTTTTTTTCCTCCATGTGTCTCAATAACTTCAACTTACTTCCTTGCTTTCCTGGTAGGCTTTGTGTATAAATCCCATCTAATGTAAAACAATTCTGGTCATCTTCCTTTAAACATGGCTCTTTTTCTACAGGAAAAGGCAGATTATACCAATGCCTTAGAATCCCCATTTTCTGAGCTGTTCCATGCAGCTGAAGCTGGAAAAACATCCCAGTGGCTTTACCTGGCCCCAGAAACTTCCGATGAGCAGCAGCGTTTCAGCCAGGGAGTGCAGCAGTTCCTGGAAACGGTTGTCATGGTAGTCAAAGCGGCTCCCAAAAGTTATGGAACAGATGATGTTTGAAACAGCACTGTTAATTTTGTAATGAGGGTCAAAGGGCTGTCCTGGAGGAAAGATAAGGAAAGGAAACTGCCTGTAGGGAGGTTGTGGCCAGGTGGGAGTTGGTCTTGTCTCCCAAGGAACAAGGGATAAGAGGAAACAGCCACAAGTTGTGCCAGAGGAGATTTTGGCTGGATATAAGGGAAAATGGCTTCATTTGAAAGGATGGCAGGCTTTGGAAGGGGCTGCCCAGGGCAGTGGTGGAGTCACCATTCCTGGAGTGTTGGCGTGTGGATGTGGCATTGGGGCCGTGGTTTAGTGGTGAACATGGCAGTGCTGTGTTAATGTTTGGACTCAGTGAACTTAAGGATCTTTTCCAACATGAATCTCTCCATGATTCTATGATTCGAAAGACAGCTTTCATTTGTTTTTCCTGTTCAGTCTCAGTCAAAACCATATTCTCTGTTAGGTCCACAGCTGTGAATCAGGGCAAGACCTGCTTCTCACCCATGGTGGTGTGAGGTTTTACCCCATGTCCTGGGGTACCCACCACCCCCATCATCTCCAGCATCCCACTGGAGCCTGGGCACTATGGGCCAGGACATCCCATCCTGTGTGCAGCCCGGGCAGTGACATTAGCACTGAGCTGCCCAAGCAGGGTCTGAAGCATTTTCCAGGGAAAACAACCAGCAGCATGCCATGCTATGGCTGTCAACTTTGCCCACTCCAACCTGTGTTTGGTGCCAATTTTAAACACCAGGAGAGGATCCCTCAAAACTTTTCCCAGGGCAGGGAGCCCAGGACAGCCACACTGCAAAAATACCATTGCCCTGGGCTTTAGTTGTCCACCATGAAGAAATCAAGGGAGCTGGAGGAGAGAGGGGAGAGGGCTGCAGATCTCTGTGCCCACCTGTAAAGCCCAGCAACAGCTCATGTGGCCCATAGAGCCCATTAATAAAGTGAAGTGTGATGTGATGCTTGTCAAATCTGTGTTCCCTGAGAGAGCTACTGAGCAGAGACCTCCATCTCCTTGGGCAGCCTGGAGAGCCACTTGCTGTGACAAGAGACTGATCTCAGTGGCAAGCCCAGTCCAGCCTTGAGCTGCTGCTGAGCATCACTTTGAAATGCAAGGCACTCCTCACAGCACTGCTGCTCTCTCCACTCTTCAAGAAAGTAATTAAACCGGGCTGGTGCTCAGATATTAGAGTGATGGACATGATCACTATTTGTCATTACTAATGGGAAGAAAGGCCCAAACCAGCAGCTTAATTAGTTTATTGATTAGGACTATAGAAGACTATAATCAATTGGCAACATGGAGTATTTGGCCTGTTCAGTGCAACAGCAATTAAAATGGAGCAAGTTTAGTATATAATTTCACAATTCCTTTTTAGATCTTTCTTGTTTACTATATATAGCTTCATAGAATTAGCTCAACCCCATCTGCTTCTATTTAAAGCTGAAGTGCAACATCACCCATGTACCAACATACAAATTATTCTTACTAATATCCCTCTGGCAGTTTTTAAAAGCTGGACCATAAAAGAGCAAGGCACACGCTTCATCTGTGTGCAATACAAAGGGAAAGCCTGACTAAACAAGTTTTAAAATACTTTGCAAAACCAAGGACAAGCAGAGGTTAACTAAGCCTCTGAGTGGAAGTGCCTGATAGCAGGAGAGCTGTGTTTATTCCTTTGCAGAATGCATGAGACACTTCCTTAGCCATGTAAACACTCATGTTTTAATAACCACCTAGTATATATTTGCTTAATATTAATAAGGAACAGCTAAAATAGGAGGCCTGAGGTCTAAAATAAGTGCTAAAAGGCACAGTCTGGAAGTATAAGATAGAGATTTGGGCTATTGAAGAAATGTTTTGCATGTTTGGAGCTGTGCTGGGGTAAGAGTTTTACTTCTCATCATTCATTTAGCTGGAAGCTCTGAGCACAGTGCTGTGCATTAACCCCCACCTTTCTCCTCCTCAATTGTCTCCACGAGGTACCGACTCTCCTCTTGCACTTTTTCCTCAAAATTTACAGCAAGGCTTTTCAGTGTTGCTAAAGCAAACTTTCTCTGCTGCCTCCATATGTGCCCATTGGATGATATAAGCCCTGTAGGTGGAAAAAACAGGTGAAAAATCTTCTCTCTGGGTCATTTGTGAGTGTTAGGGTTTTAAAACCATATCCATTCATCATGGACAAAAACCCCAAACCTAGGCAAACAAAGCTCGTGGATGTGGAAAAGGCTATGGCTTTTCCTGGGAATTAAAATTCAAGAGTAATTGGCTTATGCTAAAGATCTAGCTTTATGGATTTGCTTTAATCTGCTACTTTGTCACTTTGCGTGGGAAAAAAAGGTGTAAGCCAAAATACTCTGAGTACTATCACGCTGTTGGCAGAGCTGCAGGCAGGAGCACCCCGTCTCTGGAGCTGTGTGCAACTCAGGCAGGGAAAGTAAAGGAGCAATGAAAACCAAGGGGAAACGCTGCAAGTGTATCGATCTTTGGGCAACTTGCATTTATTTCTCCTCTTTCATTAAAATCTGGTTTTGAGCCCATCCTCATCCCTAAATTGCACAGAGATTAAAACATAGCCCTGTGAGATTATTAGTATTCTTGCCTTCCCTTGTGCAAACTTTCACAGGTGCAGCTCACAAGGGTTGAATTCAACCAGTTTCTTTCCCTCTAACAGTTATCATTCCAGACATGAATGTTTTGTCCCAAAATCCTGGTAGCTGTGCTTACCAAAGCCTTTAAATATTTCTTGGAGGAGTGGAATATTTGGCCGGTCAGCAAATATTTCAGCCTGATGGACAAGAGCTTCTCTCACCATCTGGTACCCGTTGACCACCACAAATGTCAGACTTCCAAACTGCACGCTGAAGATGTTCCCATACCGACCCGTAAGCTGAAAGAGAGTCCATTGTCCTCTGAGAACAAGAAGATGGGGATGTTCAAAACTCTCCAGGCCAAGACCTTGAACAGGGAAATCTGACTTTGAATTTAACCCTGCTTGAAGCAAAGGGACTTCAGAGAAACCCAAACCCAAGTATGCAGGTCCCATCCAATCTCAGCTACTCCATGAAGGCTGCAGAAGGCATAAAAAGGGCTGGAGAGCTTTAGTATGGGAGAGATGGATTGTTTATATTTGTTATCTGGTGTGACCTGGGCTTGACCAGGTGTTTCCATCAGTTTGGCTTGTAACAAGGATGTAAGTTGCTTTGCAACTGATGGGCATCTGCTCTGTCCCTTTCTGTCCCACCACCTGGGTCACCACACTCAGGCTCTTCCTGCTGAGGGCAAAGCATGACAAATTATCCCTTTCATCAACTTTGTGTCCAGAGCAGTGTGGTTTCTTCTCCAGCTCTCCCATTTAGACAGGAGCTCTAACTGCTTATTGCTAGACACGTACTTCTAATTTTAAGCCTGACTGCATTTATGGCCAAATTGCAGCCATTTTCCTTGCATGGACTTTGCTGGCATTAGTGTCTCCTCTGAGATGTATAAGGGTAAAAGGGGGATCATATCTTCTCTCTGTCAGGGTGCTCATCTTCTTAGAATGAATCTACATGAAAGGACACACAGGGTCACCCCAGACTGCTGTGGTGACTTGTGAAACCAGCCTGGGACCAAATGGGTATCTCAGTCATTGTGTGCTTGTAAGTAAATGGGATTAATTTTCTTAATAACTGTGTGTATTGCCAAAATATCCCAACTCAGGGATTCCCTCAGGGACCACCCATGCTGGTGGCCTGAGAGTACCCAGGGTAGACAGGCTGGTGTCAGCCTGCTAAGCAAAAGCAAGAGACAAATAGTCACCAGAAAGGATTTTTGCAGTCAGCATGTCAGAACTTCTTCCACCTTTTCAGAGAGGAATACTCAGCATGCATAAAATCTCTCTCTTTTTGTCTCTGGTAGGAGTAAATCCTTTCCAGAGAGATCATTGCCTTTTTCTGCAACATAGAAGAAGCCACAGGACAGGATTTTAAATGTTTCTTTCAGATGTGATGGGGTGAATTGTTTGCCTCTGAGCAAAGACAATGACAGGACAATTTCCAGAGGTGATCTCCAAACAGTTCAGCTGTCACACAACACTTTTCACCTGTCCCCCAGTGTCTGTCCCAGCCATTTGAAGCCCTTTCTGAGGTCCAGAAGGAAATGGTTACAGTCAGATGGGAAGAAAAAGAAGGAACATATAGGTCTTCCTCCATTATGGATTTCTTTCCCATTGGACCATCCTACTCCCCTGAAAGAGGAGGTGATAATGAGAGATAAAACCAAGAAGGGTCATCTATCTCATGTGGTTGTTATATACCCAGCTCTGCAGAGGCTGCCCTTGCTGCTTCTCAGTGTGGTGATAAGAGTCATGGAAGGGTAAGATATTGTTAGTAGGGAAAATGTCCGTGGAGCTCTTACCTTCTGCAGTGCAAGATGGAGGGGCTGCTTAAAGTCCACAACGGTTCCCACGAGAGGAAAGAGCTGCGGCCCTGGAGGGAAATTCCTGGGTCGTCTCTTTTTCACTAGGTCAATAATCAAAAGAGACAAGACCAGAACCACCAAAAGCATCCGACCATTCAGCTTTTTCAAGAATGACACAAAATCAGGCCAAAACTGAAGCTCCATCTTGGCTGATGAACTCGCAGGTTTTCATCCCAGGAAGGGACTTGATTCTGGTGTTACATTTGCTAAAACAGGAGTAAGCAACGACTGGAGAAGAAACAAAAAAAGCTAAAATGCTGATAGCTGACTGGAAGCTGCTTTTCCATATACAGATGCTGCCAGACCACCTGCTGAATAACTAACTTTAAACACCAGGATCTCCAAAAACAACCCTGAAACCTCACAACATTTGGCCAAGCAAAAGCAATCTTGCAAACCTTTAGCTTTACATCTCTGTCAACTCCCTGATTTCCTTATGGAAGAGCATTCCTCCCTTTTGCCCTGAGCAAGGGGCTCCTTTATATGACACCCCGCTGGGATTATCAGCACGGTAAACATTTGAGGTGAGGTGAAAGCAGCTTATGGGGCTGATCACATGTGGTGGGCGTCGCGCACTTTCAGGGATGCTGAGGCATCTGAGGTGATGGACACCACACAAGGGGCTGAGGGGCTGATCCTGTTAAGTGCTAAGCACCATCTGCAAAGGGCTGGGTGCCTTCAGTGCCCACCAAAGCCTTCCTGGCTTTGCCAGAGCTGTCAGGGGAGGTTCAGACAAGGGAAGAACTGCAGGGGCCCAGGGCTCTCCCAGCCACACAAATGAGAGTTAAAGGAGCTTAATTTCAAGAGTGAGAACATAGGCTCATGTGCTTGCCATGGGATTGGGATTGGAACTTATGCATTTAAATCTCCTGGGTTTTCTGAAAATCTCCTTTTAATAAGGCTTCACACTGTCCTGGGGGAAGGCTGCAGTGGACTGACAGTGACCTCTGTGACTTGGAATCAATCTTGTGTCACCTGCTGATATTAAGCTACAACTTGGTTACAGCTCTCTCTTTCCTTTTTTTGTTTTCCTTTTACAAAATTTACTTTAACAAAGAATCTAAATGTATACTAAAGCAAAACTATAAATAATGAGTTTTCAAATTATTTGCCTAGAACTTAATGTGAGAAATTCTGAAGGATGGTCAATTTTTACTGCCATAGAATCCTATGATGGTTTGGGTTAAATGGGAATTTAATATGAGAAATTCTGCAGGATGGTCTGTTTTTACTGCCATAGAATCCTATGATGGTTTGGGTTGAATGGGAACTTAAAGATCCTCTGGTTCCAACCTCCTGCCATGGCAAGGGATGCTGTGTCTTCAGCTTTAAAGAAAGCTTTAATTTTTAAGGACAAAAAGTGCAGCTTTCCATAAGAAACAATAATTGGGAAAAAAAATCTGATATTCTCTAGTCTTTGACCATTTTAAAAAGCTTTGCTGTCCCTGTCTTTCCTTATCTTAGAAGCACAAGCAGGCTATCTGACAGACCTGCACCTTGGCTATGGCAGGAGTCTTTTTTAGGGGCAAAAGTTATCTGCAACCCAACCCTTCTTGCTTTGAAATATTTACAGGTTCCTAGATGGGATTAGGCAGCAAACAGGGAACAGCAACGGGAGAAACATCTCACATCCCTTGTGTATAAAGCACATTTTACATGTCCCCATAGCACAGCTGTGAGCAGCAGTGGTTGGATGTGCTTTGCTTCTCCTCATGCCGGCGCGCCCACGGCGCTCCTGCACCACTTGCGTCCACGCGCCTCTTCCAGCCTTCCTGGTGTGGCAAGCCAAGCCTGGCTTACCAGAGGCTAAATCAGGATAGCAGGCTCGTGCTCCTCATCCTGGCACCGGGGAGATGACTCGGTTGGTGGAGGTGTCAGCCTACAGCATGCTCAGAGGGACTGTGATGATAAGGCGTCAACTTCTGCTAGCCCAGTTTCACTCCTCTGTTCCTCGCTGTGCCATATGATTTGTCAGCATGCACAGAGTGCAGATCCCTCTACCACTTGTGGCTGCTGTGAATCGGGCTACGTGCAAAGCCAAGGTGTTAATGTGTTCTTCTGGGTGGTGTTGTGGGGGTGGGCGCATCGTGGTTGACAGGAGAAATGTTATTTTTAGCAGGAGGAGCACATTCTGCATGTACTCACATGTGTCTTGTCAGTCAGAAACCTCAAGTCTATTCCCTTGCCTTGAAGCTTCACATGTCCAAATGCATCCTCTCACAAAGTTCTTAACACACCAGATTTACAAAGAATTAGGGAAGAGCCTTCCAGTATTACCAGGGCTCTCCTAACCTTGGCAGACAGTAACACCAGCATGTTATCAAACTGTGGTGATTCTATTTTGGGTCCCAGGCTTTAATCAACCCAGTTCTCAGCACGTGGTGATGTGCAAATCCCCAAAGCACCGAGGAAGTCACATCGCCATGGCACGTGGGCAGTGCAAAGGTTGTTGGACAACACCAATCTCTGCAGTATTGACCAGATCCCTTATCTGTGAGATCTTGGTCACCTGCAGGATGAACTTGTTCCTCTGGCTAGCACCATGAACGCTGGAACCTTGGTGTTCTGCAGACCAAATAACACAAATTTGAGTTCATAAGAGGATGTGCACCCACACATCTAGTGGGGAACAGGATGTAGACCCGCCTTCCCCCAGTTTCTCCTCAAATACCTCATCTGATGCCAGTACACAGCTTTTGACCGCCTCACCTGAGCTCAAGGATACCATGTGGATAAATTGTGCCATATTGCATGGACAGGCACACATCACTGCCTGAATATTAAGGCATCTTGAACAGCCAAGAGACAGAAATTGGCCCATATGCTTTGTACCTTCTTCCCTGGCTAGATGTCTAACTGTGTGCAGAAGGTTTTGAAACACAAAGAGAAACATTCTGTTAAAAATGCAATTACCATTTGTTTTTCAAGATATAGTATCCCATTATTTTTTCCAGAGAAGTGAAATTCAATAAGGTTACAACAGAATGTAGTCCAACAGTTACCGTACTTTCAGAGCATTATTTAAGCTACAGAATTTCTTAATGATTAGAAACATATGTAGGAAAAATCACAAGCAAAATGAGAATGACTGGAGACAATTTTCCCCCAAAACACTTTTTTTTCATGCAAGTAACAGCTCATCCACCACTGTTGTTCCATCCATCACGTTGGAGGTGCGAGACTCCCACCCACCCTGGGAGCCGCGTGCTCAGGTCATGTCAACAAACAGGCTCAGCAAAGTCCAAGGACCCATCCTGATTTCAAGTAAGGAATAATTTGCTGTTTCTCTCCTCTTTATGTCAGACCCAAGGAAGTGAGGCCATTTTCACCACAGGCAAGCTCTTGAACAGCAGCCACCACCCTGATCCACATTCCAGAAGGTTTTCACGCAGGTGCAGCTGCTGTTTCATGGTCCAGCACAGGTGAGTCTTCATGAACCTGGACTCAATGGCAGATCAGGACACTCATTTCCTTTCAGGATTTACTTTACTGGATCAAATGAAATCTACAGGGGTTTTGTAATTTCAGAAAGCCAGGCATGGAGAGTGCTGGAGCACCCAAACCTGGGGTGAACTCAGGAAAGACATGGTTGAACTCACTTAGTCTGAAATTCCCTACTTGGGTTATTTCACTGGGACATAAGGGCTCCCATATATCCCAGACTTTGGCTTCAATGCCCAGAATCAGTAAGCCAAGTCCATATTTACTGCTGTGTATGTGTTTGGTGAATACTAAAGTGCCTCCAATTTTGCATCTTCTCTCTCTCTCTCTCTCTCTCTCTCTCCTCCCTCACCCAGACTAGGTGCAAGTAATCTCTAGGTTTCCCTGGGATCGTAGACTTCTGAGCTGTAACCTCCTGGCCACAACATTTCCAGTGCTCATTAGAGCTCCAAGTCAGGGAGCTGTCACCAGGAATGGGCAAACTGAGGCATTAGGAGCCTAAACCAAGTGGCGAGAGCAGACCTACAGTGTTTGCCTGTGCCATCTGGGGAGGATCCCAGAAGATGGGATGCTCAGTCCCCTTCTGTTAGAGTCCAAAATGTCCCTTTTCTGCTGTAGAAGCCAGTTGTGAAGGGGTCACATTCAGACTTGAGCCAGCTAATTAAATGCAGTTAGCAGAAAGTGCTGCAGGGAGCCCTCCCTGTGCCCCCGACCCTGCATCACCCCTGGCTTTTTGGTCCAAGATTTTATTCCCTTCTCTCCCGGGAGCTGCGCCGCCGTTGCCAGCGCCGCCCCGCAGGCACATCCCGTCCGGATGCAGGATGCAGAGAGGGATTTGGGGGTGCCGGGTGCTTCCCCCCGGGGCCGCGCCCGCGGCAGCGCCAGAGGCAGCGCCCACCCTCCCCTGGCACGGCTCTCCCACCGTCTGCCGCAACCCGGGCTGCTCCGCATCCTCCGGCTCCCCGCAAACCTCGGGAAAGCTCTCCCGTCTAAGGCGCACCTTTTCAGTATTCACAGAGAAGAGTACAGTCACATATTCCTCTCAAAGCCACAAGGACTTGACTAGAGCTAAAATGTCATTTATGTACATATCACAAGCGTTTTTCTAGGCACAGATGTCTTTCTGGTGCCAATATGCTGTTTATGTACTTATCTGTCACAAGCACATGTCTACATACATATGCCCTGCTGGCAGAGGCACAGAGCATTTTGAAACTCTTATTAGACTGCTAATGAATAATACGCATACAAAGGAGAAAACAGAAGGTGGGTCTATCAGGAACAGCCTCTTTCTTAACTACCTTTTAATTGTAGGAGAGGAAGAAAAGAGATGAATTTTGATATGTTGGCATCTGTGAAGGCCTGCTTAGCAGCATCCAACGCCATCATTTTAAAAGTGGATTTTTCACAGGTTTGGGTATTTTGGGGGGAGGGGAGGATTTTTTTTTTCCTCTTAAAAAAAACCCCACAAAATTTTGACACTGAGAGTATTGCAAATCCTGGTGCCAATGATGTATGATAGTGTGATTGTCACCATGGAATGCTGAAAAGCTCGAGCAGCTGTTTGGCATATTGACAGTGCGAATTTAGAGCGTTTTAAATGCAAATGACAGTATTCAGTTGATCGCAGGAAAACAATGGGTCATAGCCTTACCTTTCCTTGGCTATGCTCTGAATAATCAGGCTGCAAATCCATGCACAATAGGGATATTGTACACGTTCTGGGGATTTTATTCCCCGCGTTCATGGGGGTCGATATGATGCTTCTTTTGGGCAGAGCTGAAATAGAGGTGCCGCTGAACCATCCCAGGCACCTCGCAGGGGTGAGGTGGGGAAAAGGGCATAATTTGCTCCAAATCCACCACGTCCTAAGTGTCAGCCTGTTTTTCTTCACTTCTATCCTTTCCCGCTTGCTCTTTAATCATTCCCAAGGGTGGCTGGCTTTCTGCCTGACTTGTCTCCATTATACCCTGCTGCAATCAATATGGCAAGCAGAAATCAGCAGGAGAAGGCATGTTCTGCTCCCAGTGAGAGCCGGTGGGAGGGAAGGAGATCAGGCCAGCCAGCTGCAACCCCAGCCCGGCAGGCGAGCCGAAATCCAGCCGAAAAAAGCTGCCGCCAGACGGCTGCGTCCTGTTTCCTTCGTGGTGCCCCCTGCCCGGCAGCGAGCAGCAGGTAAAGGTCTTCCTCCTTCCCCCAGCCCTGGGATGGCAAGCAAGAAAACCTGGCCCTGGTAAAATTTACCCTGAAAGCCCTTCTTTTTTATTTTTCTTCTTCTTCTTCTTCTTCTTCTTCTTCTTCTTCTTCTTCTTCTTCTTCTTCTTCTTCTTCTTCTT